GGTTCCTGTGGAGTTGGTTCCTGTGGAGTTGGGAGTTGACAGGATTTGAGGAGGAAAAGGGAGAGACTTTGGTTTTAAGTTATGTGTGTTTTGTGGCCAGAGGCAGCATCCAAGAAGCCTCGCTGAGGGGTTTGGGGGCAGGAAAGCCAGCCCTGGGATCTGGCTGGTGGCTGTGGGGTTGGTTTGAGGGCAGGGAGAGTCGGGGGCTGTGGTCTGGCCGCTGCTGCTCCTGCCTGCTGCCCTCCCCAGTGATGCTGCTTCGGGACCGTCCCCTGCCCCATGGGGCCCTGACTGAGCTGGTCTTCCTTGCAGAGGACGGAGAGGCTGTGAGCAGCTCCTACGAGTCCTACGATGAAGAGGACGGCAGCAAGGGCAAATCGGCCCCCTACCAGTGGCCCTCGCCGGAGGCTGGCATCGAGCTGATGCGCGATGCTCGCATCTGCGCCTTCCTGTGGCGCAAGAAGTGGCTGGGACAGTGGGCCAAGCAGCTCTGTGTCATCAAGGACAACAGGCTTCTGGTCAGTCTGCCTCACGTTGTCTTGTTCCCCCGCTCCTCTCAAGGGAAGGGGCAGGGACAGGGAAGGAGGGACAGGATGGTCCCTGACCCGAGAGGTTTCGAGTTTGTTTATATCAGGAGATTTTAACTTCTCCCTAACCTGAAATTGTATACAGGATTTTGTGTGTATGGATGAATGTACTTTTTCTGAACCAGAGAGGTCTAGTAGTTTCACCAGGCTCTCAAAGAGGGCTGTGACTACCACTGCCTCCCCCGTCTCCATCCCATCCTCCTCTTTGTGAGACAGATACATCTTTCTGTCCCCTGATCCTTTTTCATGTCCTGTCCACTGGAGTCCAGTCAGGCTCCTCCAGCCCAGCCCCAATTCTGGCTACTGTTTTTGTTGTTGTTGTTGATGATGTTTTGTTTGTTTGTTGTTGTTTTTGAGGCAGAGTCTTGCTCTGTCACCCAGGCTGCAGTGCAGTGGCGCGATCTTGGCTCACTGCAAGCTCCACCTCCTGGATTCAAGAGATTCTCCTGCCTCAGTCCCCTGAGTAGCTGGGATTACAGGCGCCCGCCACCACGCCCAGCTAATTTCTGTATTTTCAGTGGAGATGGGGTTTCACCATGTTGGTCAGGCTGGTCTCGAACTCCAGACTTTGTGATCCACCTGCCTCAGCCTCCCAAAATGCTGGGTTAACAGGCGGGAGCCACTGCGCCCGGCCCTTGCTACTGTTTTTATCTGTGCAGCATGAGAATGCTAGGTATCTTCTCAGAAACAACAATATTTTGAATAACTGATTATAAGACCAGACCCAGCAAGGAACCAGATATTACTCTGACAACAGTCCTGTTTCCTGCTATTTTAAGTTAAAATTCCCAGTTGCGTGTCCTGACTTGAAATTCCACGGAATTATTATAAACACCTTTTCTTGCTCCGTGCCAGTGTTATTTCAGGTAATCCTGTTAAGCAAGCCTGTAAGGTTTCCCCCATTTTACAAATAGGGAGCCAAAGGGTAAAGTATTTTCTCTGGTAGGGGAAGAGAATCCTTCCTTTCTTTGTTAACACATCATCTTCCTAACTAGGCAGAGAAGAAGCTTAGTGTTTGTGCCTTATGGATCCTTTACCCAGAAGCCAAGCAGGCAATGCAGAGAGGTGGAGAAGGAGTGAAAGTCTGTCCATTTTGGAGAACTGAAAGGTGTCCACAAAGGACGTATTTTAGGGCCCCCCAGGCCTGGGGCAAGTTTGAACCATTTGGACAGCAGCATCCTGGAGCATCCTTGGCTGAGGCCAGTGAGAAGGAGGCTTGAGGGAGAGAGGCAGAATCTGATGTGAAGAACAGGAGTTGCTGATATTTGAGGTTAAGGCTCCAGGCTGCTTCGGGGTGTCCAGCCTCTTAGTCTTGCTGGGTAAAGTCAGGCTCTTGGTGGGTCCTGCAATGTCCAGGGGCCCCTCCTTTGCAGACATCACCTCCGCCCGGCAGCCCTGGGAAAGTGGTATATTTTCTCTCTTTCCTTCCAGTGCTACAAATCCTCCAAGGACCACAGCCCTCAGCTGGATGTGAACCTGCTGGGCAGCAGCGTCGTTCACAAGGAGAAGCAAGTGCGGAAGAAGGAGCACAAGCTGAAGATCACGCCGATGAACGCCGACGTGATCGTGCTGGGTCTGCAGAGCAAGGACCAGGCTGAGCAGTGGCTCAGGGTGAGGGGGACACCGGACCACTTGGAGGGGCTCCTAGAGTTGTGGCCCCCAGCTTTTCTAAAGGGATGGATGATAGCGTCAGGGGTAGAAGATTTGTGATCCTTCAAGTTTGCAGGGCTTCCTGTGTTCTAAGTGGTAGTGATCTGTCTTCTGCAAATGGGTTACAGCATGCTGCTGCTAGGTCTGAATCCCCAGTAGCCCGGACTTGGGTGCAATTGAAATCCATTTCCCTTTTTGCCTCTAGTGAGGCATCCCCCACCTACTTACTTACTTACTTACTTACTTACTTACTTACTTACTTACTTACTTACTTACTTATTTATTTATTTATTTATTTATTTATTTATTTATTTATTTTGAGACGGAGTCTCGCTCTGTCGCCCAGGATGGACTGCAGTGGTGTGATCTCTGCTCACTGTAAACTCTGCCTCCTGTGTTCACGCCGTTCTTCTGCCTTAGTCTCCCGAGTAGCTGGGATTACAGGCACCCGCCAACATACCTGGCTAATTTTTTGTATTTTTAGTAGAGACAGGTTTCACCGTGTTAGCCAGGATGGTCTCAATCTCCTGACCTTGCGATTTGTCCGCCTCGGCCTCCCAAAGTGCTGGGATTATAGGCGTAAGCCACCGCACCCGGCTCCCCCACCTCCTTATTAAAGAAGAATACATGTCGCTGCCATTTGCCATGTATTTGCCATAGACTAAGGACTATTAGCAACTTTAACCCATGTAACCACACTGGGGATGGCTGGGGAATGTTAATATCCCCATTTTACAGGAGTGGTGATTCAGGCTCAAAGGGTGGAGGTGATGGATCCAAGTCATCTGTCAAGTGGTGGCAGCATTGGTTCTCAGACCTAGGCTTGTCTGATACAGTGCTGTGCCTCCTCCCACCGCAAATGCTTGTGGTCCACTCTGCCCACGCTTCCCCAGGTGTGATGATGATGAGCCACTTGGGGAGGGGCTTGCCTGCCCCAGGTGAAAGCTGGGCTTGATGCTTCCAGCAGGTGTAAAGTTTGCACCAGGAATAGATCCCCAATTCCAGAGGGACCTCCAAACCCAGCAGGGACCCTGGTGAGGCCAGCAAGAGCCAGAGCAGCCCTTCCCCTCCTTCCTGCTGCCCCTCCCCTCCTTCCTGCTGCCCCCTCTCCCATCAAAACCACTTCAGCACAGGAGCATTCTATCTACCCTGCACCCCACCCCACTCCACCTGCCACCCGCCTAAATGTAACCACCTTGGCTAGCCTGTCAGAAACAGATCTGGACCGTCTCAGTGAAACATGACCAAAATGTACCCACCTGAGGCACTGGTCCATCCCTAGGTTGAGTACCCTAGATTTGGAGCAGGCAGGCTGTTTTTGTAAACCCACTAATTGTTTTAGAAATGCCAGGCCTGGCCTAACCAAGCTTCTAGAAGGTGCTGACAGGTATCTCAGTCTTTACTGCAAAATCTTCAAGTGGTGCAAGACAGTGGCATGTAGAAAAGGAAAGGCCAGTGCATACACAGGTTTGTGGCTTGACTTCACAGATCTCCATGTGGGGTGGGGTTCCTGAGAGAGCTAACAAGCTCTGAAAGGCCAGCCCTGGGCATTTAAGAGCCAGGACTCTGAGTTCAAATCCGGGCTTCACCCCTTTTTAGCTGAGTGATTTGGGACTAGATTCTTTAATGTGCACAAAGTGCTTAGCACTGTGCCTGGTACATACTGAGTGCTCCATGAAACCTGGATACTACAGATAAGACCACTGAGGCCCAGACGGAGAGGGGGGCTTGTCCTGGGCTGCAGAGCTGATTAGGACCCAGAGCTCTGGGCTGTTGGTTTCTTACCCCAGTCTCCTGGCTCCTATCCCTCCCCATCCTCACCCACTACACACACACACTCATTTGCACACATATATGCACACATGCACATTCATGTATACATTTGTATACACATAGACAAATGCATATGTATGCACATTTGCATGCACATTTGTGTTCATGCATGCATTGTGCATGCGTGTGTACACACACACACACACACACACACACACACACACACACTGCTCTTGCTCCCAGTTCCCCACTCTGTTTCTCTGACTGCTCAGATCCACTAATCCTCTCCCTGCCCCCTGGCTTCCCTCCCCAAACTCTCACGCCCTCTTCCTGAGACCCCTGGCCCCACAGCCTCTGCTGGTAGTTTCAAAGACAAGAACGCTTT